AAAACGTGGAATCTCAAATTTTGTACCACCACCTTTTCCTGCCATAATGATCAGCACAAACAAAGCCTTCTACAACCACAGCTCTGATACCAAAATGATAAATTAAAAGTGGATCAAGTGTAAAATGGTGTTTATGCATATGACAGCAAATTGAAGAATGAGAAGTACAGTGACTGGAAATTGAAATGAGTTTTATTGCTGAATATTTGGAAGCAGAACAACTATAACAAGAAAATATGATGAAAAGATGAGAATTTGACACACAGTACAACTGGTCATTCTCCTTATTTATAGGCAGCAAAATAACAGAAGTTTGTTGTAACTCTCCTACTAAAAACGTGGCTTCATATCAGATAAAAAATCTAGTATGCTCCAGCAGCTCCACTTTATTAGGACTCCACTAACAGTTTTATTGGACTTGGTCTTCAGCAGTCATTGCTAGGAGGAGTGGTACACGAATTTGGTCTTTTGCACAGTTGAGTCTTTAACTATTGAAACAGTCCAATCTTTTTTCAACAAGCACAATTTGAGGTAAAAGTGATGAAAAATAATATGACATCGTTCTGATTTAAATTTTAATTATTATTAGAATATTAAATACACTTAATAATAATTAATTTATGAAGCTTGATGCTTGAAACAGTTCAATCGGTGACGTGGACCTTGTATCAAATTTGACAAATAACAGAAGCTCGTGATTCAATAGCTCCTAACTGTAGCATTTCCGGTGACACCAACGGGGCGTTACTTAGGATGTGAATTGCCATGATTGACCCTGGAGATGCATGGATTCTGGGAATCTGGGTTTTATTGTCAGTGATGAAAAATGTTGAGAGAAAGGTAACTTTCTAAGCATGAAAATGTTTTTTTTGTTTTTTTCCTTTTATTTTTATTTTCTCTAGGCCCTCACATTATCACTGCTTTTATCTTTGTCTCTGTACATTTTTCTCGCTTATTTTAACCAAGAATCCATATGCCTAAGCCATAACTCATTCTTATTTCCATGTTTCAATTTCCAAAAGCATCTCATTTCAAGGTTGTAATTATGTAAGCAGGGGAGGAAAACTGTCCTCTATTGTTTTTTATTGTGCACATGGGTTGAGTATCCTTGTACTCATCTGTTAATAATATTGATGTTTTGCTGTTCAAAAAAAAAAATTCCAAAAGCATCTTAAAAGGAAAATGCATTAAAAATCACATAAATATCCAGGATACCTTTCCACTCTGAAAATCCAATCTGAAAATTTTTACCAATCAAAAGTGTATAAAAGTCATTCCGTTACTCAAGCAACCACCACCATCACAAGAAAGAAGGAAATGCTGAGTGAGAATCGAACCCCAAGTGAAAGATGTTTGCATCAAGTGGATGCAAACATCCATTCAGAGTGGCAAAGGGTGCGCTTTCCTCTTTTTTGAATTGGAAATCAAGTAGGGGAAGCTTGTTATGGTGGTCTTGTTAGATTTCTTCCTTTCTTTTTAGTCTTTAATCCTTCAATCTCTCCTCTTTTTTCGGACAAAGACATCATCACCTCATGCAAACAAACTACTCCATTACTCTTGATTCAAGAAAAGAACATTTCAGATTGAAAATTTTCCAATGAGATGGGAGGTCCATCTATTCATTGCTACTTCCTCAGGAGACAGCATTTTTGGTGAGTAAATCTGGGATGCTTTTCATCTGACAACATTATTTTACTTAGGAGATTGAGGATGGTCATGCTAATTCCTGTCTTATGTCTTGGTCC